AAAAGAAAAAAGGGGGGGGGGGGGGGCAAAAATTGCAGGAGGGATCTGCGGTCCGTGCTTGAAATCGCCCTTTTATTCCTGGCATCAGTAAGTCGGCGACAACCTTCTGCAAATCCACCTTTTCCCAACCTACCTCCTCTGTCCTCCACAGCTGTAACAGCTCTGCTGCTGGGAAAAAAAAAAATAAATCAACCCACGCATTGGGATCCTAATACGCCTGCTGCTCACAGAGGAGGATGAGGAAAGGGTCAGGGGAGTGGTGGTAATTTGCTTTTAAACGATTTTTGTGAAGGAGAGCCCCAAACCCTCTTCCTACAGCTGGGAAAACTCGTGTTTTCCCCCGAGCACAGGCTCTGAGTACTGGACATTTGCGTAGAGAAATAACTGTGTGATTTAACCTCTTCGAGAAGGAGGAGCGATTGCCATGGGGGTTTTTTGGGGGGAGGTTCTGGAAAATTTGGGACAGGAATCTCTGGGAAGGTGAAGGATCCTGTGGACGAGCACCCAGGGTTTGGTGCAGTAGGAATTAGCTGTTAGATAAAATCTGGGTGAAAATGAATTTTACGGTAAGGATCTGTCAGCAGAGTGTTGTCTGCAGGTTACAGAAACGTGTTCTTCACGGGCTGGGTTTTCTCTCTTCTTTTTCATTTTTTTTAAGGAATCGTGCTGTTTACATTTCTGTTTTCCCCTTCTGCTTCCTCCTCCCTCCCCATTAACTTTTTGGGGGAAAAAAAAAAAATTGTTCAGCCAGGTATGATAGAAGCAGAGGGTATAAAGTTCCTGCAGGATTTGGGAAAATAGGCGGCGGGGTAAAGGATGGAGGTTTTTGTTAGCCGCCTGTCCCCACGCCTTACCCCCGTTTTGTGATTCAGCTTGGCCTTTCTATTAGCTTATTAGGGAATAATAATCTATTAGCTTATTAGAGAATCCACAGGTTAATAAAATAGAGGGTTTTGCATGAAGAGTCCAACCGATGGATGAAAATCCGTAGGATGACGGCTGGCAATGGGTTGCATGCTGGGCTCTGCTTACGGGGGGTTGCCTCCTTCTCTCAGGGGGCCCGGTGCCCCCCGCCATGGAGCCGTACGTGCTGCTGGACCCGCTTTTTCCAGAACCCCGTTTCCAAGCCCGATCTGCTGTCCCGCCTGGACCACGGGGATGAACCTACAGCCCTGGATCTCCATGTGCCCAGGGACACCCCGGCCGCAGGTGAGCCTCCGATCGTGCCTCAACCACAGCGGGGAAAAACCCTCGGTTCGACTCCTGCAAGCGTGGAGGGCTTCCCCCCTGCCGACCTCTCCCCAAAATGGGCAAACCCCCACCGTAACGGCTGCCACCGTACCCCCGGCTGCAAGCCCTGGTTTGGCCACGGCATGGAAGAGAGGTGCTGGGGAGGAGAGACTGCAATGCCAGAGGCATTGTCCTGGCCAAAATGGAAATGCCGGACCCCCTTCCTAGACAGGCGCATTTCTGGAGTGGTCCACGGAGGTGCAGTGGAGGTGGTGGTGGATTAATTACCATGTTCACGTTGGTGGCAGAGAGGAGCGATGGGGATCGGAGATGCCTCTGCTAGAGGTGCTTACCTGGAAGAATCTGTGAAATGAAAAAGGAGGAGGAATCCCTCCTTGCTCTCCTCTTCCTACCACCTTCCCAGCCCCGGGAGAGACGATGTCTCCTGCCTGGGTTGTGTCTGTCTCTCTTTGTGCCCCACAGAGGATGGAGCAGGAGCAGAGCAGGAACCCCCTCGAGAAGAAGCTGCTGAGAAAGAGCCTGAAGTGGTGAAACCTGCGGGCGAGGAGCATCCTTCGAGCCCCGCCGAGACTGGGGTGAAGGTGGGCAGGAGCAGGGGACTGGGGGAGACGGCCACGCGCCCGGGCGAGAGCCAACCCAGCAACACGTGCGGCGAGTGTGGGAAGAGCTTCAGCCACAAGTCAGCCCTGGTGAAGCACCAGAAGATCCACACCGGCGACCGCCCGCACGAATGCCCTGACTGTGGCAAGTGCTTCATCCAACGCTCGGACCTCACCATCCACC